GGGAGGGAGGGAGGGAGGGAGGGAGGGAGGAAGGAAGGAAGGAAGGAAGAGAGGGAGGGAGAAAGGGAAAAGAAAGAAGAAAGAGGAAAGGAAGAGTGAAAGAGTGAAAGAGCAAAAGAGTGAAAGAAAGAATGAAAGAAAAAGAAAGCGAAAGAGCAAAAGAAAGAGCGAAAGAGAGCGAAAAGAAAGAAAGAAAGAAAGAAAGAAAGAAAGAAAGAAAGAAAGAAAGAAAGAAAGAAAGAAAGAAAGAAAGAAAGAAAACTCTAACAGGCAGTGTTCTGTTTGAATTTTGCTGTAGATTAATGAAACGGAAACTGCAAAACATCTCCTTATGGAAGCATTTGAAGTTTTGAACAACTGTGCTCTGAAGGGCTTTGTTTTGATGCTTCCCTTTCAAAAACAAAGAATGCCCCAGAATTTGTTGCTTAGGAGTTTCCTGTGGAAAATAATCGCAATTTTCAAGTGGCCTCCAGTTTGTCCTTTTACTAAATCTCGTTGAAGAGATATTATTGGCCAAGTGCCCACGGGAGCTTCGCAGCCAGCTGAGCACGCAGCGGAGCTGCACCGGTGTTGTTGCCGAGCGAGAGGGGGTCGAGGTCCTCTCGGCAAAGCCAAACCCAGCAAACACAGCAGGTCTCAGGGCTTTCTGCTGCTGCAGTCTTGGAGCCCCGGGGGAGCAGCGCGTCGGGGTGCCAGCTCCCCTTCCCAAACGGGGGACAGAGCCGCGACATCTTACACCAAACCCCAGTCAGGATTGTGCCTCCCCAGCCCATTTAAACAGCCCCACGTGGTTTTTGTCCCCTCGAGGACTCTTACTTTCTCCAGATTTTCCGTCACTTGGCGATATTCGCGTCCGGGGCAGCTTCTCGCCTTGAGCCGTTCTGCCATCACCCTCCCTCCCCGGGCGCAGCGGTGTCCTGCGTCCTTCCTTCTGCTCCCTCACACTCCGCTGTGGCCACATTTATTCCTTTGACTCCCTCAGAACAGCGGATGCCGGTCCCGGCGATCCTTCGCCTGCTGCCAACAGCGCTGCTGAAAGCCCAGGGAAGATAACGAAATTATCGAGAAACGCACAACGAAGACCGAACCCGGGCTGCTGTGCACAAGCCAAATTTCCCAAAACGCCTTCCCGGCACTGGGGCTTGTGAGCCACGTGAAAATCCACCTCATCTCTTTCCAAACAACCTCAAACCCCGCCTGGACAAGGTCCTGTGCAGCCTGCTCTGGGTGACCCTGCTTCGGCAGGGGGTTGGGCTGGGTGACCCACAGAGGTCCCTTCCAACCCCGACCATTCTGTGATTCTGTGATTCTGTGTCTTCAGCCGCTGAAGATCCCAAGCCCAGATAAAAGGCTTGTTTCAGATTAAAGAATGCGGTTTGGTGCGAGATTGAAACCTGAACAGGTTTGGTTTGGCAAGCTCCAAAATTCGTTGCGTCTCAGTTCATCGATCCAGCAACGAAAGCACGAAATGAGTCCTTTTTTTCCAGCTCTAAAAATGCACTTTTTGGCACTTCAACAGGATGGAACTGCCACTAAGGCTACGGAGAATGCCTGATGCTGTGGGTTAGCCCGAGGCAAAACGCTGCCGCTGGAGACCGCTGACGGCGAGATGCCAAGGGCAGCATCAGCCTCCCGCAAGGCGCTGGCTGCCAGGGGCTCGCCCGCCGCCCGCATGAGCCGGCCGAAACCCAGCTTCGGCACTGCGAAATGCGGGTCTTCACTCCGAGGGAGCAAGCGTCCCCCGCTCCCGCTGATTCTGGTCTGGCTCAGCATCGCTCCTCCCCAAAATCAGCCCCTTCCGTCGCGGGTTTAGGGCCTGGATTTTAATCGGGCAGGTGGAAAAGCGGAGTCTGCGCTGGTACCCCACAGCGAGCGCTGCCTCATCCACGAGGCTGCTTTTCTAACTCAACTTTTATCTGTGCTCCTAAACCAGCCTTTTAATCACTCAACAGAAGCAGGTCCTAAGATCCATCTTGTAACACCACTTCATCACAGGATCATAGAATCTTAGGTTGGCAAAGACCTCTGAGATCGTCAGGTCCAACCGTCACCCCAACCCCACCATGCCTGCTAAACCATGTCCCAAAGTGCCACATCCACACGTTGTTTGAACCCCTCCAAGGATGGGGACTCCACCACTGCCCTGGGCAGCCTGGTCCAATGCCTGACCACTCTTTCAGTGAAGACATTGTTCCTAATGTCCAGTCTGAACCTCCCCTGATGCAACCTGAGGCCACTGCCTCTCGTCCTATCGCCGGTTACTTGGGAGAAGAGACCAACAAGCCACGACTGAACGCGAGATCAGCGGTTGAGCACTGAGGACTGAACGTCAGGCATTTCCCCAGGTCCCAGCACAGAGCTGTCAGATGAAACGCGTGCCGCCACGCGACGACTTGCGCACGCGGCAAGTGAAAGCTGGCGTTTGGTTTTTGAGAAGCAAACGGGTTGCTGCTTTCCACCCCAACGCCAGTCACTCCGAGAGGGACCACGGCTCGGCAGCTCCCGGCTCTGCTCTGGGGGTCCCCCTGCCCCCAGATCCCAGGGAAGGATCAGGCCAGCTCCTCCCACGGGCTTTTCCTTCGGGATGGGGCTATAGGAAAGCGTACTCATGTACAGGTCTCACTTTGTAACACGTAAAACCAGCCAAAAATACAAAAGCAGTGCGCCCTTAGCATCGTCGCTGCAGGGCAAAAAACCTCCCTGGGCTGGAAGTTTAGCCAAAAACTCATCTTTTTTCCGCAATGCTGCCATCTCTCACGGCAAAGACACCCAGCAAAGCCC